ATTTTATAATAGGTAAACACAGTGATTACTTTCACTTCATTACTTTCACTTCATTAGGCATCGTGGAAAGTTCATGAGATTGAGAATTAAACAGACTAGTGACCAAGTCTCAGATATGCCACTCACTGGCTTTCTGACCTTGAGCTTGCTGTTGAGCCTTTTTTAGCTTCAGCTTTCTTATCTATAGCATGGGAATAATAGTTATCTTTTGTGGATTTTGCAAGGATAGATAGAAATTAATGTAAATGGTGTGGAATAATGCCAGTAGCCAGTAAATGGTTGCTATTTTAATTATTCCCCTTCTTGTCATTTTTTAAAGGGACATATAAAGTAATTTCAGCATCCAGGCAGAAAGAGTTGTTTTTAATTAGAGATAATGAAATTTCGAAATTCTTTCATCTGTAACAAATTTTTTAAAAAGGAAGATTGCCTGACTTTGTGTTGTGATGTGACTTTTACACAGGTAACTTGATGCACCCATAGTTAATCAAAACATAGACAAAACAATCAGCAAAATGTGGCTTACAGCCAAAATGATATAAATTATTAGAAGTACAGAGATCAGTGATAGAAGCAGGCCCACTGACAACAGCAAGAAGTAACAGTTATTACGATGGCAGAAAAGCTATAAAAAGCAAATATAAAAATGGGAAAAACACTAAGTAGTAAGATTTCAAATACAGCTCTGTGACCATTGAGGCCATTACTTTATAGGCAACAATGACCCCAGATCATCAAGAAAAGGGTGAAATTGGATTCAGTGTTTTTGGCTTAAGGAAGAGAGTTGTGCAATATAGTTTAGAAAAGATTTTCTTCTATACATTTCCTCTTTAAAAAAATATTAAGACTTAAATAAACATTGATTGAATAGAAAATTTTGTAAATCAAACAACTAATTCCTTGAGGAGGCTGGGTAAATGAGTCTCCGCTATGCATGAAAAGCAAGCAAGGAAGGGGGCGATGGGGAGAGGTGATCACTGGGTACAGAGTTACAGTTAGGTAGGAGGAATAAGTTCTAGTGTTCTGTCACACAGTAGGGTGACTGTAAGAGAGGATTTTGAATGTTCTTACCACAAAGAATAATTACCCTAATCTGATCATTACACATTTTGTGCATGTGTTTCATCACACTGTACCCCATAAATGTGTGCAATTATTGTGTGTCAGTTAAAAGTAAAATAAAGGTAAAAAGAAAGAATAAAATTGACAAGTTAAAAAGAGCAATTAAGAGACCTGATGACATTAAAATGTTCAACAAACTTAATTTTCTCATATAAAATTAATTTTATTTTAGATACTTGTATCATTTAAAATACAGATGATGATGTGATGATTTGTTTATTTTTGCTCTGTTCATAAATTTAGAATACTGAGGAAATCTGAAAATGTAAATTTTTAATAAAATTCAAGTGATTTCACATAACTTTAAAAAAAGCAAACTGACTTTTTGAAATCATGCTGTAGTCTTCCCTCTAAAAAAGTCTATTGTAGCATTATCTTAAATTCCTTTTTAATAATAGCATTGGTCTTTTATATATATTCTATATAAGAATAAAAATTTTATTTTTCACCTGCCACATTTTATATTTTTTAATTTTTTATAATTTATAAAATTTATATATTTTATAATTTTATATTGTAGATTCTTTCATTCTCATATAATTTGCTTAGCAGTTTTGCCTAGCCCTTTTACAAACATTTATTTCAATAGCATTTGTAACTATACAGTGTTGGCTGCCATGAACACCTCACCATGAGAAGGTGGCATAAAATATACTAGATAGGTATTTGATATAGTAGTTCTTTGCTCATAGGGAATAATTTTGTGTAAATTTCAAGAGTTACATAAATTTTTTCCTCATCAAATTAAATCACCACAAAGCTACCCAGGTGGACCACAATTACTTGCCCCCTGTAGGAAGGCTTTCACTAAGACTTTGACTTGTTAGAGGCCTTTTTTAATGGCCATAGAAAGAATGTTTCTACATTTGCTTTTTAGCTTTTATTAAAGGCATTGTCCTAAGGACATTTTCTAAGGAAAAAACTTAGAAAAAAACATTTTCTCTCTTGGAGATGTGGTGTAACTACTTCTAATAGAATGCAAGAATTATATATTTCATTATACAAATCATGAGAGCTAACATCTCTAATGATTGCTAGGATTGTTAGCTTTCTTGTTTTACATATACGCATGCTTTTCCTTTTCATGGTTTGGTTTTCTATTTCTTCTTTTATAGCCTTATTTAATGATGCCTTTTACTCTAAGCTGACTTACATCTCATTTTGGAAGAGTACAGGATTGAAAACTGAAATAAAAATGATAGAACAGTTTGAGAGTGTCTGTAGAAACACTCATTTGGCTGTAATGTAGTGCCTGCATTTGTGATTGGCTATGCCTTTGAGCACTTTATGTGGTAACACTTCCAGGGTTTTGAAGTGTAATGCTCCAGTGTTATTCTTGAAGTACTGTAATAGTGACTTTTCCCACCCCTCTGCCATCCCCCAAATATCATTATGGTAGTGAAAACATTTTTCTCTATTACTGGTTGGTTAGAAAGTCTTTGCGTGTCCTTGTTGAATATCATTTTAGGTGTTTAAAAGGCTACTATCTATAATCATGTCTATGTAGTCTGTATAGCACCCTTTTTCCCCATAATTGCTTTACGGCCTTCACATAAATCTGTGAACACCAGCATTCATTCCTTCTGCAGTGGGGTGTTGGAAAGGGGAAGATCAAGCTACAAGCTACAAAGTTGTCAAGGAAGCAGTAGACCTTTTAAAGTATGGGAAGGATTTGGTTTGTCATTGAGTGAGACTTAAACCTCAATGGGAATTCAAGAGAAATGTACTAGAAATACAACCTTGAACCTAAGAAAGACAGGTAAATTTGCATTATATCAGCTTTCTGGTATGTGATTGTGTCTGTCGTTGTAGGAAAAGTTTATATTTGAAACATGGTTATCAGAGCAAATAAATTAACACCAAAGAGCCAAGTTTATGTTGTTTTGTTTTAGTCTTGATTACTAATTACTTAATTACTTTCTATATATTGACATTGTGAAACATAAGCTTTTAGTTCTGCCTTTGTTTTTGGCATGCTAATTTGATTTGTTTTAATTATGTGAAGCATAATTATAGAAAAAAATTCAGCGTACTCCATTGACTGTAAATGCTATCATTAAATATGCAGATTTTATACAGTATGAGCATGTCCCATAGAGAGCAATCTCTTTAAATTTTTAATATATTGAGGTTATTGTTTTTTAAAATTTACTGTCTAGAACTCATTAGATCAAGTTTTAGCAAGTCATGGTAATTTAAAATAATCCGTAAGTACATTAATACCAGTGGTATGCAATTATTTTGCTTAACTGCCTTGGCTAAACATATCCAACTAGATGATTCCCAAACTTAAAATGTTTAGCCTCTTACCAGTATAGACATTTCATCTATGTATTTCTGAAACATTATTTGTACAATTCTGTCTGATTTATTAGTGAAGTAAATCTTTGCAAGTTTCTAACCCCACAAATTTGGGAAGCCCAAATCTCCCAGGCTAGAAGAGGAGGTTTCCAACGTCACAAAAAGTTGAATGCTGTTTGGTCATTCACTTATTCATTCATTTATTAAATGTGTATTAAACACCAGTTATGTCCTATGCAGCTACAGGGGCTGCCTTAAGGAGCATATGTTGCTATAGGAGAAATTGCAATACAGTTGGTACGTGCTCTGAAGAAGCATATGCACGGCACAGCGTTGACACAAAGGTGGGAATAATCCACAAGCCCAGTGGCTTGGTCTTGTGTCTCCTCTCTGGCTTCTGTGATCACCTTTCATCCTGTTGGTTGACTGAGTTAGGTGAGGGGGCAGTGTTGGAGGAAGTCAGCTTTGATGTGCCAAGAGAGTAGGGTCACGGAGCTCAGGGATTTGAGCCTGTTGACCATCCCATTGTAAGTGTGAACAAGTTCTAGAATCTTGGCGACTGAGCTGGAGCCAAGGTTCTCTGAGCTCTGGCTTAAAGTGAGAAAAGGATCACTTCTTTTGAAATCTGCTTTAGCAGTGGTGTTTCTTCTCTTTGATTTTATTCACTCCTACATTATAAGCTCAAGGACTACATTTTTTTTTTTAACCAAGAACTTCAAAAATCAAGTTTTGTGTTGGATACGTCTATAATAGGAATTTATAAATGGCTTAGCTATAAGGCTCTTTTGAAGTAGTTACCAACTGTTTAGTACTGTGAGAGTGTGGTGCTGAGGTACATGAAATAAGAAAGAGATTGCCAAGGATGGGGTCCTTTTTGTTTTTCCTTTTTGCTTAGAAAGACTGAAGGAAAAGGGAAGAAAGCATATGGTTAGAAGGTAGAAATAGACTGGGAGGTAACTATTATTAAAACATGCAGGATAATTCACTAGGTTGATAGGGCCTGTGAATCAAGAAATACTAAGATTAGGGATGCTCTCTGGTCAGGGGAGTATCCCAGAGTGCCAGGTGGAGGTTTGCATTGATAAGTGACTTTTTACTTGGCTTGGATCTGCCCGTAGATTAAGTTAAAGATCTTGATGATATGCAGAATCCTTTGTATATATTTAGGCTATAAAGATTTAGTTGAAGTAAGCTCGTCTTTCATATGGTTGACTCCTAGTTAATTCTCATTATTTTATTATAGTGTCCTTAGTCTTTAATTTAAAAACTTATAGATAGGAGTTGAGTTTATGCTAAATCTATATGAAAATAGAAGTCATACTGAAGGTCAGGTTACACTGATATATTATTTGTGAAATTATAAACTATCGTATCATCTGTTACTATCTCTGATCATTTGTGCATGTTGAGGTAAAGCACCATGGTATTTGTTGCAGGGGACGTGATATACTGTTGGTTGATAAATGATCACTCCTAATTTCTGGCTTTTCTGACTGATGTAATGATGCACAGATTTAAAAAGTTTAATTTTGTTGCTCTCCTTATGAGCTCATTTTATTGCCCTTTTTCTAAGCTAGATGCTTTCTGATGCAGCACCTGGAAAACTGAGAATTGTTCATGGAGATGTGTTGACATTTAAGATAGAAAGGGCTTTTCCAGAAAGTCTTAAAAGATGCTGGGAGGATGGTAAGTACCTTTGGGTGGTTTTTTAAATTTTCTTTTTTAATTATTTATATCACAAATATTTATTATACATTTGTTATAAATGTTTTTATTATGTTAATAAAAATTATCTGGAGAGAATTAAATAGATAATGTGCATTGTAATTTTTTTGCTACTTCATTCCAAAATATAAATTCTTAATTCTAATTTATTTGTTTCAAATTTTCAAATATTTTGATTCTGTGCAAATAAACTTGTCATTTTTATTACACCATAGAGGGATGGGGTAAACTATGAAGTATTAATTTTTCTAAATGGTGAAAAAAGAAGTGTTTTAGTAAACTAAGCCACACCTAAGCCTTTGTTTTAACTTTTTTCCATCGTCTTTCACATTCAGTGACCAACCAAGGTACTCTTCATTCATGGACAGTGTTTATTGGGACCTGCTATATGTCAGCCCTTTGGAATACATAGATAAACAGGTTATGGTTTTTGCCTGTAGAAAACTCAGAGAACAAAGCGGGGAGGGCCTTGGATGCCTCCACATCCCACTGCCCCCATGTCCCTGGCCTTTCCATAGCCAGGTCCTTCAGAGTGGGCACACTTGCAGTCTCCACCTGCTAACAGGCCCTCCTTTTCTCAGCATGCAGCTTTCCGCTATCTGCCCCTGCCCAGCCATGCTATAGTCACAGTGACCTCATTGCCGGTTTCAAACTTTATCTGAGTTCTCCCACATTCATATGACTGTTATCCAAGATTTCTCTGCTCTTGTCTTCCCTGATGCCAGGCCCTCCTGTTTTTCCTTTTATGTTTGTGAACTTCTCTTAACTCTTCTTTGCCGGTAGTTATTTTTCTGCCTCTTTCTTGCATGTTGTTTCTGAAATTTTTCTCTTTGAGCATCTTCTCTTCTCCTGCACAGTTGCTCAATTACTCCACTCCTGTGGTTTCGCTTACTACATATATATATTGTAGACACTCACGTCTTTATATCCAGCCTATATACCGTTCCTGAACCTTTGACCCCCTGACAGCTTCATCTCATTGCCCCATGACATAACCTCATCATGTCCAAGGTAGATTATCTTTTCCCTCAAACCAGCAGTTTTTCATACATTTCCTAGTCCAAAAATCCAAGACTTTCTCTAAATGACTAAACACTAGTAGAGTTTTTTCCCCAATAGTTCAAAGCTGATTGTGAGAAAACATTTGGAAGAATAAATGGAATGAAAAGTACTCAGCCATATTTTTTTGTATATTTTTGTTTGATGCTATGACTTTCCAGTTTGATTTTTCTTTTAACTAAAATTGTATTCAGAATATATTGATGAAATCATTCCAAATTGTTTCTTTCCTGGCCAACAGATCCTCCAAATGTACATGTTATTGGAAATCTGCCTTTTAGTGTTTCAACTCCACTGATTATCAAGTGGCTTGAAAGTATTTCTCATAGAGAAGGACCTTTTGCTTATGGCAGAACTCAGATGACTTTGACTTTTCAAAAGGAGGTGGCAGAGGTAAGTTTTAACTTTTTCTGGCTATTTTATCACATCATATTCCAAAACAAAGTAATACTGCATTTTTACCATAGACTGTTTTCTAAGTTAATAGTCCATTACACACAAGAAAAACCCAGCAACAGCTCAGCCAGAAGTTAAACATATAGTGACGATGACAGACATAACCGCTATAAGCTTCCAGGGAAAACATGAATAATGTGTGTCAGCCAAGAAGGCAGTGTGGTAAACATAGGGACACAATGGATTTAGACACAATTAGAAAAAGACAAAAGCTTTGTGGTGTTGGCCATACATTCACACATAGGGATTGGCGTGTGGTATCTTAAAATTGATCCTTTGCACTCAATAGGATGATAGGTGAAGAATATGATAATCAATTTGGAGCTGAGAAAGGGAAGATGTCGGGGTCTCATTATCTGGTATATAGACTCTCACTCCCTCACCTCAGCAATGCCTGCTATGCCTGCGTTCCCATGGCAGGTGTGTTCCAAGTTCACTCTCTAGAAAGTAAACTTCCATGGTTGGCAAGGGTGGTTTTTGAGCTGCAGAGGTTTAAGGAGAGGATCTGCAGACTATAGGTGTTTTTTTTTAATTTTATAACATATAAATACAAGAGTATACAGTTGTCCCTCAGTATCCATGAGGGATTGGTTCCAGGACCTCCCATGGATACCAAAATCCAGCCATCCTCAAGTTCGTCACATAAAATGGTATAGTATTTGCATATCACCTATGCACATCCTCCTGGATACTTTAAACCATCTCTAGATTATTTATAATACCTAATACAATGTAAATGCTGTGTAAGTAGTAGTTATACTGTAGGGGATAATGACAAGAAAAAAAAGTCTGTACATGTTCAGTACAGATGCTACCATCCTTTCCCCTCTCCCCCTCCAAATATTTCTGTCCATGGTTGGTTGAATCCATGGATGCAGAACCCACTGATATGGAGGGCTGACTATATAACGTATATGTATAGCTTAATAAAAAGAAGACCTAAATCGCCACTACTCAAGTTGTTAGTTGAATTAGCAATACCTTTGATACTCTCTTGTGTTCCTCAGTCTGATTACATCTCCTGTCACCCCCTACTAGAAAGGTAATCAATACTGTGAGTTTTGGATTTATTATTCCCTTGCATAGTTTTATCATATAGATTTGTATCCATGTAATTAATATACTTTAGTTTTGTCCATTTTTCAACTTTATACAAATGGATTCATATAGTACATATTCTTTTCATACTGAACATCATTTGTAGGATTCGCTGGTGTTACTCATTGCTGTAGTCGATTTACTTATCTAGGTATCTAAACTACCCACTGTTTGGCTATGTCATAATTTGTATGTCCATTCTCCTGTTTTGGGACCCTGAAATAGTTTTAGTGTTTTGTTGTTACAAACAAAACTGTCATGAATGTTCTTAAATTTATGTCAGCTGGGGCACATGGGCAAGGTTTCTCTTTTCCAGGATATGTACCTGGGAGTGGAACTGCAAATCTTCACCCTTACTAGATAATGCTAAATTATTCTCTAAAATCATCATGTCTGTCTATATTCCCATCAGCAGTGTGTATGAGTTCAATTTGTTACATATTTTTACCAGTTCTCACTATTGTGAGACTTGTACATTTTTATTAATCTGAGGGTAATATCATAGTATGACATTTTATTTTCTCTTTGCTGATTTTTAGTGAAATTGAGCACCAATTTTATGTGTACTGGCCTTTCGGGTTACTTGTTTTTTTTGGAAAGTGCTCCTCATCTTTCTGTTGGGTTGCTTGTCATTTTCTTATTGATTGGTAAGAGTTCTTACATACTCTCCATACCAATCCTTTCTTAGCTAAATGTGTTAAAAATTTCTTCTACTCTATGGCATGTCGTTATTGTCTTTAGTGTGTCTTTTGAAGAGCAGGCATTCTTAATTTTAAACTTATGGTGTTTTTTGTGTCTTGTTGAAGAAATCCTTTTATGTCTTAAGATCGCAGAGATATTCTTCTGTTATATTCTAGAAGCTTTATGTTTTACGTTTCACATTTATATCTATAATCCATGTGGGATTGATTTCTCTGTATGGTTAAAGTAGAAGCCAATTTTACTACTTTTACCATCTGGATCCCAATTAGCCTGGCCCCACTTACTGAGGGGTCTGCCCCCACTGATCTCTGTCAGCACCTCTATTGTCATGGCAAAAGCCCTTTTAAGCACTGGTCTGATTAGAGACACCAAGAAGAAAATAACATGAAATCCAGGAGGCAGAGGGCCCCATACAGGACAGAGAGGAAATCCTCAGGAGGAGCATTCAGTCCAGATTGGAGCCAATCAAGAAGGTGAATTTGATAAAATACCCATCAAGTTGGCATATATGCACACAGTAGTTAAATTTGGAAGCATTATGATTGAATTAGAGATAAATAAATAGAAAGCTAAATATAGCAGAGAGTGATGCAAATAAAAAGTATTATTGGAATGGGAAGCAAAAATATATTATTTGGAGATGTATAATTATTATGAAAACCTAAGAAAAAATGAGAGACCTAAATAAAAATAACCACAAAACCTTTACTGAGAGTCTCAAAAGGTCATTGAGATAAATCAAGAGAAATATGACATCCCCTGAAGGAAAAATGATTATCATCAACATGCTATTTTTTTACAAATAACTTTGTACACCGAATATAATTACAATCCTCAAAGAATTTATCTTGAAATGTAGTGAAGTTCCAAGGATCGTCTTGAGTAATGGACTTGTAAGAAGTCATAAGAAATGTTGAAAAATAAGAACGGTGAGAAACTTGCCTGTCAAATGCTAAAATATGTAGGAAAGCTTTAATAATCGAGGCAGTGTGACTGACAGCATGAGACAGAAAGTGACTAGATTAGAAGGCCTGGAAACAGACAATTTAGTAATATGTGCTAATGGTCAGATCAAAAATCAGCAGTCAAGAAAAGAGTTAGTAAATGCATGGATATTTGGTTAACTATTATGTAAAAAAAAATTGAGTAATTCACATACATAAAAATTAATTTCAGTTACTGTGTCTTCAAATTCACTGCTCTTTTCTGCAGTGTCTAATTTGTTAATTCTATTTAATGTATTTTTCATTTATAATGTATTTTTACCTCTAGAACTCCCATTTAGGTATTTTTATATCTTCCTTTTCTCTCCTCATTATGTTCATGCTTTCCTTGGTATTTTTGTGCATATGTTTGATATTTACAGTAGCTGTTTTAAGATCCTTGCCTACTAACTCCATTACCTCTGTCATTTCTGTGCTATTTTTCTGACTTTTTTTCCCCTCCTTGCTATAGGTCCCATTTTTCTGCTGCTTTGCAGAAATTATCATTTTTGACAGGATACCAGATATTGTGACGGTTTTTTGTTTTAATATTGAGTGCTAGATTTTGTGGTATTGAGTTGAGTGTTGGGTTTTGTTCTGCCACTTAGATGACTTACTTGTAGATTGAGGCTTGCTTTTTTTTTTTTTTTTTTAATCTGGTAGATCTTGAGTAGCCTTTAATTTGGGACTAATTGAGCCCCACTACTAAGTCGTAACTTTCCCGAGGAATCCACCCAGCGCTCTGCATATTTCAGGGCCTCTCTGCTTTAGCTGGTAGGAAGGCAAACTCTTCCCATCCCTGTGTGAACTACAGTTGGTCCTGCTGCTTCCAAAGGTGCTGTCCTCAGGTTTCCAAGCCTCAGGGCATTTTACCTCAGGCAGATCAGTGCTCAGCTGAACAGGGAAGACTTGAGGAGATCCGTTTGCATATCTCTGGAGCCATGTGTGTGTGTGTGTGTGTGTGTGTGTGTGTGTGTGTTTCCATATCTCCAGTAGTTTAACCCACAAATTCCAGCTGCCTAGGCCTCTCAGATCTCCAGCCCCTCCTATCCCAAGTCAGAGAGACCTCTGAGCTCTGTTTGCATCCCCCAACCCATGCTGTGGCCTGAGAAGGACCATGGGCTGTAGGCTGGCAGTCTAAGACTCACCTCTTTCCCTGCCTCTCAGTGATCACAGTCCTGCACTGCCTGTTGTCCAGTTTATGAAAACTGTTGTTTCCTATATCTTACTCAGCTTTATAGTATTTCAGAACAAAACTTTCTAATATCAGAATTTCTATAAAAGTAGACTATGTAACTACATAAGCTTGATTCTTTGGTTACTTTTCTCTCAGATAATTTGAGTCTGTCATAGAATTTCTTTTCTTACTTCCATCCCTCTCTCTTTACCCTTGTTCCCCTGTAGAGCACTCTTTTCCAGTGTTACCCCACCCACCCTTCAGGGCCATTTGGGAGCATCTGGAGGAATTTTTGGTTGTCACACCTGGGAGGTGCTTCTGGTATCTAGTGAGTACAAGATTAGGGATGCTGGTATCTAGGGAGTGGAAGGTTAGGAATGCTAGTAAACATCCTTCAGTGCACAACAGAGAATTATCCAGCATTAACCAGCACAAAATGTCAGAAATGCTAAGGATGAAAAACTGCTTTAGATTATTTGGCCATAAAATCTTTTTCTCAGTAGTCTTGGAATTTTCTGTTACAAAAACGTAGGACACTTTTGTGTTTGTTCAGAACTCTAAAATGATATCACCACTTTCCTTAATGTCCTTGTCATTTCCTGTTCATGAATCTGTTAATTCTCTGATATTGGTTTAAACTGGGTCCGTGCCAGTAGTTTTCTTTGTTGTTTATTCAATCTTTGGATTTGTTAGTTCTGACATAAACCACTCTGTTTCCTCTACACTCACACAACACTTCTGACACCAGATGTGTGGGTTTTTCCACACCACACCGCGATTCTCCAACTCTCTGAACACCAGTTGGATGTCCTTTATAATTTGATTCAGTTCTGACACTATTCACCTGTAGTTAGGGTCAGATCCCACAAGGTAACGGCTCAGTCCCAAAAGACTGTCCCGACTTCAGATGACAGTTTCAAATCTGGGTCTCCAGTAGTTCTGAGCAACTAGCTATAAAATAAATCAGGGGTTGCCAT